CAATAATCCCTGTTATGTCTGTGCATGTAGTCATCTTGAGATAGAAGTGCCTAGTTGAGAAGCCACCTATGCAGGTGTCACAGTCTCTTCCACCTTTCATACCTGGTTGGAAATCATGTGCCCAATTGCAAATCAGTTTACTCAACAGCCATGTGATGATGCCAGAAGCTTGCCTCAAATGATTTCATTTTAGGAAAGAGTTAAAACCATCTACTTGAAAACAGCATGTATTCAGACACTTCACATTTTTTCCAAATAATCACAAAAGAATACTCTTGTAGAATCCCCACAAACTCTCAGTAAGGCGCAAATAATCAAACAATGATTGCTATCATATTTTGAAAAACATTCTCATGCTAAACGTTCCCCAAATCACAAATCCATTCTAAAATCACACATGCTTCACATTATTTACATTTATTATTGTTAAATCTTCAGTACCTGAAAGGTATAAACATGGATCAAATGAAAGGAAATAGGAACTGAAACCAAACTATTACAGGTGTGCATAAAGAAATTGATATTTTTCCTGGTCTTCAATCTCTATAAAGGCAGTAACCAAGGACAGTAATTTTGATATGGAACTGAGTTAGGAATATTTCTTTTTTTGGAGCAATTCCTAGGGAGAATAGGCAATTATTACAGTCTTAGTGGACATAGGGAGGCTATGTTTATAAGAAGTGAAGATTCTAATACAGAGTTATCACAGTTGGAAAGCAGGCCATAGACATAGCAGATGGGGTCTTTATCGAGAGACCAGAAAAGGCAAAGTATGGACTGAAACAAAGAATTAGCATTGTATTTGGCAGCACATCATGGGGACTTATTGCTAGTAGTTCGTGGACTACTTGACTGATGGGACAAATGATGTTATTTCCATTTAATTCCTTCGATAAGTTTCTCACTTCTCCAAACGTAAGGAAGACATGGAAACAGGGAGATGAGTGGAGAAGCTGAAAAGAAAGAAAACTAGAAAGTTATCTCTAAGTGAAGAAGGTAGATTACAACTTTATGGGTTTGTGGGGCTAGTTGGTGGTACATAAATAGGACATGTTATGATTAGCAAATATGTGCATGAACTCAAGTTCAGAAAC